GAAAGAGTTTCCTTCCCTGATTCCAGGTTGCCACAATCAGCTAGCTGATGTTTTTCTCCCTCATTGGGATAGGGGTCTCCCTAGAGCTCTTGACATTTCCGTAATTTCTACTCTCAAACAACGGACAGTGCACGGTGCCGTGGAAAATCAAGGGTATGCCCTGTCAATCTGTGAGGAGCGGAAGATGACTACTCATGCTGCCTCTTGCAGAGCAGTGGGGGTCTCCTTCATCCCTCTCGCTGAGTCACTTGGGGGTTGGAGTGATGTGGCTGCCAAGACCATCAGCCGTATTGGACACGTTTTGGGCCAGAGACTTGGCATCCCCCCGCCATCACCTCTCGCCAACTGTTCCAGAGGTGCTCCGTGTCACTGTGGAGAGGGAATGCTGCCCTATGGCTGCACCGTTTCCCTCCAATCTCCTCCTTGATTGTCTGACTGTCTCATACTTGTTTTTGTTTTTGTGTTGTTTTTATGTTTTCTTCGTGAATGTCTTTGTGTATATATACCGAAAGGTTTACGTGATTCTAAATACGCGAAACTGACTGAAATTTCGCAATCGCCTGTATCATAACACACGCCACGTGGTTGGCCAGCCCGATCGATCACTGCCTAGCTGCTGCCTTTCTTTTATGCTTTTGGCTGAGGATGCACGGAAACCTCTCTTAATTGTCTCCACGGCGGTCTCTAGTAGCTTAGCTAAGACGCCACATGCTATTGAGCCTCGAGTACTAGCCACACCCTCACCGCAGACCGTGCGTGGGGAGTTAGGCTGGGAAAGAAGGCGTAGCTAGCTAGTATGTACTATACGCGCGCACGCCCTGCCCGTTTTACGCGGAACCACGCCTTTTTTAACCACGTGCATGCGGGCCCGCATTCGTCGTCGTTCAGACAGTAAGGCAGAAAAACGCTCGGACAAGTGCCGCAAATGCTCGGAAAATGTCTGATGTCCGACTGTAATTTCATGCACTGATACCCCCCTGACCAACAAGACATGACATGTCAAGGCCCCATTCTTGGAGAGTTGACACAATTGCACCAGCAATGGAGGTGGAATCCATTCTGCTATGTTAATAAATCCAACGAATTCCTCACACACATCAAGTGTGCGACTCACAAACCATACACAGAGGCTGACCTGTTCAAAAGTTGAAATATCATTGGCTAAGATGCTCCAGTATTGGGGTATGGAGCTCAATATCTCCCCCCAGATGCTTTTTTTCACATAAGCATATCATCTCATTCTGAATGCTTGGGGAAGTATACTTGGCATTTTCTGGTGCATTATGCATAATGATCATTGAGTTCCTTGTCAAACTTTGATTTCCAGGTCACAAAATAAGCAAATTTTCCACCTTCAGCTTTCATAGATTTATCCCAACCTCCTTTTAATGGAATACCACCCTGTCCTAATGACAATACAATACAATTATGGACAGGATACCCTGCTCGGTACGATACTGCTGTTTGGCATGTTCTGTGGAGAGTTAGGTTCCAACACCTCCACCACTTTGATGGGCTTCGATAAAGTCACTTGCCTTTTCCACAGTTCATGTGTTGATATAAATAATTATGCCTACAGCTTTCGTCCACTTTCTGAATCTGGGGGTAACATATGGAGAATCTGAGCTACGGTCAGGATTGCTAAAGCATAAACAAACAGAACAGTATGCACTGTCATTTTTGACGTTGTAGTGAAGCTAGGGTTCACTGACAGCCCACTCTGTGTTAAAAGTCATAGCCGTCTGAAAGTATCTTTCGCGAAGTTAACAACAAGAGTCGGTCATCATCAGACTCCTGCCCACAAAATCGGCTGGATCATAATGAGGTTGTGTTGTTAACGATTGAACGCCTGGCTCGCAAGTTGGTTCCATTCTTGTACTGCATGAACAGGGGGGACCCTCCGTGGGCAGGGGAGATGCTAGTTCAACACGCGGAAAAATTGCGCAGGTCATTGAGGGTAGCTACATAGCTAGCAGGAAATTACCTCGTAGCTCGTACAGTGCCGGTTTGTTTGCATGAGAGCAAGCGAGCAGACCCACGCGCTCACGAAGGTAAGTTTACGTACTTTAGCACGTGGGGTCTGCTCACTACTCGAACATGACTGCTAGTGCTGAATCTTTAATCTGAATCCTACCTCCCCCGCTAGCTACGGCCCTGATGATAGTGTGTAGTTGTCCTAGTATAAGCTGTTATGTTTATTACAGAAAAAGGAACACCACGAGAGCGAAAAAAGACTGCTCGACATTGGGTTATTTTTTCTGAAAAAGCTTGGAGCGAATAGGAACACTTAGAAACAGCTTAGCGAGCGGTAACAACACAGACTTACACTAGCCAGGTTTATAACTGCTTGAATTATTTTTGACTGACTGTCTGAACATAAATGAACTTAAATGACAGTATGTACATTTTTGACGTGGTAAAAATTTTCTTGGTTGCAGGTTCAATGGGAATACTTAAATTTGTACATTACTATGAACTATTGAGCGAAATACTGAACGACCAAGTTGTTGAGAGCCAGGTCAGGTAATAGACTATGGGACTTTTCTTTTCCATACTATTTCCGCTTATAAAAAGGCTTTGGGAGCCTGGAATATACCTAACCTGAATGCATAGCTACCTATACCTACCCACTCACAGACATACAATGCTTGCAGCTGATATCGTTTTCTATTCGGATCCTTTGCTACCCTCGCCTTGTAGCAAGGCACTTTTGCAGGGTAAGAGCCTAGTATAAATTTGCGTTATTATGCCTGTATGTAGTGTATATACAATACGATGAACACTAGCTACCACTAGTGACATGTGTACAGCACCGGACAAACTCATCACTCTTAAACATTACATAGTCACTGTGAGCCACAAGCAGCCCATAGATGGTAAACTAGGTCCAGATTCTCTCGTGTGCATTGGATGCTTTAAAAGAGACCACAACATAGAGTTGTGAAAAGGAAATGTGGAGGTATAATATCTAAACGCCTTTTCTAATCCCTTTTAAGCAATGGTTTACAACAAACCTTACCCGTTGCAGTGAGCTTGATCCCCAACCTTGGTGATATTAAGGTGCCAAAGTTCATCTTTTATGCTGCCCTTACCTGAAGAACACAGATTAAAAAGCAGGTTTGACTTTATAGACAACACTTGTCACTTAGGTATATCACCTACCTGTGCAGTTCAGCCTACTATGCATTCACTCTTTTCACTGCCATGTCCTGTACTTTGCTCGTGAATCACTGCTCTGGTTCACCATGAAACGTACCAAAGACAAATATCCAGGTTCTTCAGCATTCCATACCACAAAGCCAGAAGATTCGCTGCCACACTGGTTGCAGCTGCTTATGATCGCTGAACCGTGCGCATACACGTGCCCAAGTTTGCACGCGCAGCAAACGTCATAGTGTGTACACAAGACTCCCTGTCAATTACAAATATAGATCAAAAAGTCAGTGTACTCTAATATTGAAAGACAAAGTTGTGCCGTATTACACATATTGGCCGTGTTGAAGCAATCTTAATTATGACTTTACACGAAATGTGCAAGAACAATCCAGTGTGTCATTTGCAATGAATGTGTTGACTGAGAAAAGACTTCATTTAAAAGAAGTGTGTAGAATTGACCTGTTACAGTCTCTGTGTTGACGACGATGTGACACAATCACTAATGTGTTATTTCATCTCTGTGCTGTTTTCATATAACCAAGGCGTGTTACTTTATTTACAGCACGTAATATCAACATACTATAGACCTTGATGTGTAGTTTGGCGTCTAAGTCAGTGTGCTATATTGAAAGACAAGGTTATTTGTGCTGATTACAAACAATGCCCCTAAAGTAATGTGTTAAAAAGCTCGGCACGCGCATGCGCAGCAAGGGTTACAGTAGTTGATTTTGTCTGTGTATGTGTGTCGACGCTTATTATGGCACTACAGGCTACGAGGCGGCCTATTAGCGATACCAGTGGCTTCAGAACTACGTGAGCCTGAAAAAAAGGCGATTGTCCTGTAACGACTGTTTTCGAGAGATAATATGCTGTGAAAACAAGCGAAAAATTCTATATGCATAATTGCACTGGGCTTACCGCACTCACTCTGTGTACCTTGGAGCGTCAAGAAGTCACATTTAAGGGCATGTAATGACTCCTGCATGCTATCTACTTGTGTAGCTAGCCCGTGTCAGACTCTCCGCGAGCTACTAGCATGGAGACCACGAGTAAACGCATACGACCTGTACACAATGAATGTGTTGATTGAGCACAGACTTTGCTGACCTGTTACAGTCTCTGTGTTGATGTGACACAAGCACCTACCCTTATTCTGTGCTGTTTTCACATAATCAAGGTGTGTTACTTTCTTAATATCAGTACACTATAGACCCTGGTGTGTAGTGTACTAGTTTGGCATCAAAGGCAGTCTGCTATATTGAAAGACGTTATTTGTTCTGTTATTATACATAATGCCCCTAGACTAATGTGTGTTGAAACAATGTATGTGTTATTGGACCTGTACACGAAATGTGCAAAAACAATCCAGTGTGTCATTTGCAATGAATATGTTGATACTAAAAAAATAAATTCACATCTCTAAGTCAGCAGTTAAATTTTACTCTACTTACTGAAGGCATGTGGATGAGAGGATATCTGGTACCGCTAACGGTACAAAGTCTAGGATTGTGCATCTTGGAGTTTTATCATTATAGAATGGTTAACTGTTTTTCTCTAAAGGGTCATTTCTTGGTTGTTGTATTTTGATAGTAACATGGTCTCGAGAGACCTGTATGAAATTAATTGGGTGTCATTTTGATATATCACTTGTATAGTTACAGCATGATCTACATATGGGCAACACAATGGAAAAGTCCAGGTTTTCTACTCCCTGTTATCGGGTGTGAAGCACATAGAGATATCCTCCAGTACACACGTATTGCGCATAACAAAAAACACTTTTGTGTGCTGTACTATCCGTAGCTTGTACGCCCTTTGGAATGAAGTATATTCAAATGACAGTTGAAAGGATCATGACTTCCACCACAGATAAAACCCAAAGTAGACGAAACACGTTACACACATAATTGCAACTGTATGTCTTGTATTTCTTGATCGACTGCACTGGCTATCTGCAACACGTTGCACCTATGTACACACAAATAAAGATACAATATTACTCTTGATCAATCTTTTCACCTCCAAGAAACAAGTATAGCAACAGTGAGTAAACAAGGATGAGAAATCTAATTGGGACGGTGACTGGCCGCGCCCACCTGCTTCGCTGCGCATAACGCGATTCTGCCTAGTAAACAGCTAGGGATACCAAAAATGCTAACAACTCACCTGTTACCTTTATTGAGCCTTGTCTTCTTCGAGATTGCCTCATTCCACAATCGTACGAATCTTATTGGGGCGTGTCAACGAGCGACGTGCGCTATGTATCAAGATTGCCATTGCTTAGATTGCTGACTCCCTAGAGCACTATTTTCAGAATGGAAGCTATTTTGAACGACAATGGCAAAAGGGTAGACAACATGAAATGAGGGGGGGGGAGTGATAAATCTCTCATAGATATGACCAAAAAGGTTAAAGAATTTCACAGTGAGTGTCTCCGTATCAGCGGGTAAACACTTTTGTGTGCCTGCTGCAAAGAGGTAGCCCCCAAGCTAAGCTTAATCAGGGGTCACATAGCATCGTCAAAGCACACAAATGGCAAGGAAAGACTTAATTCACAAGAGCGGGACATTGCAACGTCATTGGAAACTAATGACACTGATGGTGGGAGGGGTGAGACCTTACCTGAAAATAATTGTGTGTATCGGGCCAAAGCATTGCATTTTTAGATGCTGGTGTACCACCCAACAGGATGGAGCATTTTCGACCGCACCTGGAGGAATAAAAGAGCCATGTCTGACCTAATCCCATTAGTGAAAGAAAAAACAGAAGGAGATCCAAGGGCGACAGGTGTCAGTTACATTCGATGGAAGTACATGTTTGAATGGCAGTGATGTTGCAGTTTGTAGATAGTCAATGGCAAATACAAGAAGTTACTTCGCCTAATGCAGTGTCTTAGTCAATGACAGAGGAAGAAATCGTCCGTGAATTAAACGTTCTCTTCACGGGTCTTGGTATTGATCTAAACATGCAGCAATGCGAGATATAGTGGGGCAGGAATTAGAACGGTGGAGGTCCTTTACCAAATGTTAAGCATGTTAGATGCCTTTCCCACACCAATGACAATGCTGGACATCATTTCTGCACGCCTATCCTCGATCAATTAATCCGTAGTTGGCTGGCACTCTGCCCACAGTCCAAAGGCTCGACTACTATAGAAGGCTAGTACTGGCCGTAGTATGCGTAACTATTGCAGTACAAGGTGGTGGAGCAAATGGGAAGCAACTCCTTGTCACATTCAGGGATGATAAGGGATTTATTGATGACAATGGAGACATTACTAGAACGAAGTTGCTGGAAATCCTGAATGATCCTGCAAAGACAGTTCTTTCCAGATTGAGCAAGCTGCCATCATCAACACAGGTGCCCCTGGTATACACTCTCAAAGAGACGGGGCTCCAATGTGGCAGTGTCATGACAAAATATAAACTTTCCTCAATGCATCTCACCATCCGAATGTCACAGCTGCAGTAGAGATAGTAACTGCTGGGAACAGACAGGGAATTGCCTGTGCTGGGAACTGTGTAAAAAGAGCCCAGGACTACTTCAAACAGGAGGTGACTGGAGACTTGAAGGATCTGGTGTCAGTGTTCAAAGCAGCTACAGCAGTTGTAACAGATCCTACTTCAGCTGAACTGGACTCCCTCTGAGTTTTTCCATTTGTCAACAATGCAGCTGTCATTGGCGGCCTTGGAAGAAGAGTTGCCACAGTACCTCACATTATTGGAGCAAGGAGTGGTCTTCTTTCACTCTCAAGTCCTTACCTTCTGCAGCATATTCTCAAGTACGAAGGCAATTTTTGTGCACTAGATGCTGTTTAATATCCAACACAATTTCAAGCTTGACAATAGCTCAAAGCTCTGACTGTACCCACACATACGTATTGCAACAGAGTGACTGTTAGGAGGCACAAAAATGCTGTCATTATTTAGCAACCTTTCTCTTCCAACCTTTCTCTTCCTCCACCCCAGACAAAGCACATGCACACTAATTGTAATGCAGGCATGAACACAACCTCACCTGTGACTGTACAAGAATAAATAAATACATGCACCACCGCCGGCCCTGACCCCTCAGTGACTGACGAGGGAGTTGTCACAGCAGGTGGCCCACTAAGGTCGACCCCCCTACCAGCCAGGTAGGCGAGCTGTGCCGGCGTAAAGTCGGGCGCCGGAGGTGTTGCGTCGTCAGGTCTGCCGCAACTACAACGACAATCCGTGTCGCTTCTCGAGATGCCGGTTTATGCACGTATGCCAGGATTGCTCGCGTTAGGAACCGCAACGGAGCTCGGGGCAAAGCGTTTCCCGGCCACCAGCCCTACCCGAGGGGTCAGAGACGCTGAACCAAAGCCGTCAGCTGCGTCAACGACGCTGTATCAGTCTCCAGACCCCATCCCTCCCTCACCGTAATATTATGTGTATATATGTGTAACGTGTGACGATGGGAAATGAAAGTATGTTCATCTCCAGTATTTCAAGGGTAGCGCTATAGAGTAGTCTTTGTCGGGCGTTGGGAGCAGCTATCAGTGGTGAGCACACCTTTGTGGTGGTCGGCGTGGGAGGAATCGTTGCGCTTTCTACATTTTGAGAGGTCACAGGGAGGGCTTTTGTGTTGGTTTCAACCGCTCATCCCCACTCAAGTCGGCAGCTCGCAATATGCATTCTGCACAGGAGCACCCGGGGGTGATTCAGCAATACCTGGATAAGGAATGCTCTCTGGGCCGCATGCTGGGCTCCTTCAGAGAGGAAGAACTGTGCTCCCACCCCGCCGCATTCACTGTTTTGGGGTGATCCCAAAAGGGGTGAATACGGGCAAATGGTACCTCATTACAGATCTCTCTTTCCCACCCGATGCCAGCGTCAATGATGGGATCAACCCTGCCCTCTGTTCCCTGTCCTCCACGTTGGTCGAGCTAGTTGCAGGGGTAGCAGCAGGTCTAGGGAGGGTTGCCCTCCTCGCGAAGACCGACATAGAGTTCGCCTACAGGATCATTCCCGTTCACCCGCAGGACCGTCCCCAGCAAGCAGTGGGATGGGATGGCAAGGTGTACATGCTGCCCTTTGGGTTGCGGTCTGCCCCTAAGATTTTCATGGCGGTGGCAGATGCCCTCGAATGGCATGTTCGCCAAAATGGGGTCAGTTACATTTATCACCATCTCGACGATTTCGTCGTGGTAGGGGTCCCGGGATCTGAGCAATGCACAGTCGCACTTGATATTCTGCGCCAGGAGTGCGCATCGCTAGGGGTTGCCGTTGCCGAGTGAGTTCAGGGTGGTTCCGACCACACCGAACCTCAACGAACCACTGTGATGCAGGGGATGCATAACACAAGACGGATGGTCCGGTAACATGCCTCACGTTTTTGGGAATAGAGGTCGACATGCTGGCCTGCGAATTGAGACTCCCCGAGGAAAAGCTCTTGCATCTCAAGGCTCATTTGGAAGAATGGGGAGATCGGAAGGCCTGCCAACTGAAGAAGTTGGAGTCGTTGGTGGGACTGCTGAACCATGCGTGCAAAGTGGTCAGGTCGGGCCGATCCTTTTTGCGGAGGATGATCGACCTCCTACATAGCATGCCGGACTCCTCCCGGTCAAACCACCCGATCCGCTTGAATCGGGAGTTTAGGTCTGATTTGGCCTGGTGGAGGTCCTTTGTCAGTGGGTGGAACGGCAAGTCATTTCTCCCCCAGCCAAACGGCTTTCGGCAGTGGAGATGGCCTCCGATGCATCCGGCTCATGGGGGTGCGGGGTTTGGTATGGCACCCACTGGTTTCAGGTGTATTGGGACCACAGGCTTGCCGACGCTCCCATCATGGTCAAGGAGCTGATTCTGGTGGTCCTGGCAGCGGAGCTGTGGGGTGGGCAGTGGTCCGAAGGTCTGGTTCGTTGTTATTGTGACAACGAAGCTGTAGTGGCGTGTCTCCGCTCTCGGACAAGGAAGAATCATCACGTCATGCATATGCTGCGAGTGTTGGCCTTCGTAGAAGCTAGGCACTGGTTCTACCTGTCCCCGCTTTACGACAGCGAATTTCCTGGCTGACGATTTATCTCGGGATAACCTGGTTTCTTTCTGTCAAACGTACCCGATGTTGACAGCTCCCCGGCAGCCACGTCCTCAGCACTTCTCGACCTGCTCCTGACTCCGGAGATAGACTGGGTGTCCCCGGCATGGCAGAGTCCTGTTTTCAGGCAGGGATCGCAACATCCACCCAAAGATAATACAACTCGGGAATGAGGCGTTTCTGCTCGTTCTGTGAGAGGTTTGGTATATCCACCCCATTTCCAGTAACCGAACAACTACTCTGTAGTTTTGTACCCTATTTAGCAGACAAAAGGGCTCTCACCTCAGACTGTAAAATCGTAGCAGCGGCCGTCCGTAACGCACAGCTATCGCTGGGACTGCCAGACCCCCGTGAGACCTCCGCCTTCCCTATTCTCAAGAGGGTTCCGGCGGGAGTTTCTCGTCTCCGCCTAGACTCTGCTCGTGTCCGTTTGCCGATCACGGCCGAGCTGCTCAGTCGTATAAGGGTGGCGCTGCGGACATCCTCGGATCCGGAGAGACCCCTGTTCTGGGTGATTTGCTGCACAGCCTTCTTTGGCTTCTTCCGTTTGGGGGAGCTTCTACTCTCATCGATGTCAGAATTTAACGACAGTCTGCACCTGGGGTGGGGGGATGTTGCGTTCGACCATCCGTGTCGACCCACCATGGCGAGGATTCACCTGAAGCGGTCGAAGACTGATCAGAGTGGTAGGGGCTGCCATATTATAGTGGGCCGCACGGGAACTGAGCTGTGTCCGATCTCAGCCATTGTGAGTTATGTCTCCACTCGGGGCGAACGACCTCGCCCATTCTTCACCGATTCAGTGTCGGTGCCTATGACCAAGGCCAGGTTCATCCTGCGTCTGCGGACTGTTCTGACAGGGATCGCTGTTTCCCAGGACCGGTGTGCTGGACACAGTTTCCGGATTGGGG